GGAAGGAAGGAAGGAAGGAAGGAAGGAAGGAAGGAAGGAAGGAAGGAAGGAAGGAAGGACGGAAGGAAGGAAGGAAGAGATTGATTCACCCATGGTAGAGTACTATGCAGCTTCAAAAATGAGGACCCAGGGGCTGGAGAGATGGCTCAGCAGTTAAGAGTACTGGCTGCACTTACAGAGGACCCGGGTTCAATTCCCGGTGCCCACAGGGTGGCTAACAACTAACCCTAACTTGAGGGGATCTGATGCCTTCTTCTGGACATTGCATGTGGCATGGGTGCACCTACCTACATGCAAAGCAATATACTCATACACATAAAATAAAAATAATAAATAATTGTTTTTAAAAGAGTACCTTGTGTGCACAGAAATGAAACAATCTCCATGTTACACCACAAAGTATAAAAGCACAGGGAGAGCTGTGAGCTTGGTGTGCAAATACCTGAAGTGTGAACCTGAGACTCCACGGCCACATCTGCTGGAGCACACACAATGAAACCAGAATGATGTCAAAGAAAACTTGCTCAAGAAAGAGAGACAGCATTGTTGAGTAAGGTCCAGAGCAAGAGGAAGAATGATGGGTGGGTGGATGGATGGATGGATGGTTGGATGAATGGACAGACAGAGATAGAGAGATAGATAAGAGATAAATAGATCATAGACAGAAAAAAGATAGATGATAGGTAGATAGATGATAGATAAATGATAGATACATACATACATACATACATACATACATAGATGATAGATGATTGAGTGCTAGACAGATGATAGATAGATGGTTGATTGATAGGTCATATATAGTACATGCAGGCATTATCTAATTCAAAAATAAATAAAAACAAAAGAAATTTCTAACAGTGAACACCCCACCTACACTGTTTCTTGCCTCAACCTCCACCCAGGGAGTCTGTGCCCTCTAACCTAATAATCCCAGTTCTAGAAACTTCCCTATGGGAAAGCATAGCATGGAGGAAGAAGATTTCTGTACACTGATGTTTGTCACAGAGTTGTTTATTAGAAAGGAAAAATTTCACACATGCAACAGGATGCATGCCATCATGTGCTGAGTGGTGTACAGGACTGTGCATTGACCTGAGGAAGCATCAGATGATACAAGCAGTTTGCCAAACTGCTTACACAGAATTCATTCTAATTACTCACAGTAGTTACAATCCACAGTCACCCTCAACAATGAAACGGCGCTACCGAGTCATCATTCAGAGGAAATGGGTGAGGTCACCGCTGGCCTGCCACGTTTCTGCCAGACCTCTGCACAGCCCTCCTCTGTGGCTCTGCTGGAGACTCCTTGTTGAACACACTGCTGACTGGCTGGCACTGGGCTCACAGTCTACAACACCCTGACAAGGCACACCTGAATGAAGCTCACCCAGCACTTAGGGTGCCAGATATCAGCACAATGCTCTGAAGTCCCTGAATGGGGAGTGCCAACAAAAGGCAGAACATACCACTCCCCCCCAAAAAAAACTGGCACTAGACAGATCAAGGAATGGCCTCCTTGCTCAACAGAGAACCAGCTTGGAGGCTGAGGTGCCACCCTGGCCCCTCGACAGCCAGTCTCCAGCTGCAGAGCTGTGAGGGGGAAAGTGAGAGCCTCGGGAGAGAACAGACTGGAAGGTAGCAGCTGTGCTTCCTGAACAAGGCTTGCCTCTGGGGTAGGGAGACTGCAGACCCATGGGCACTTTTCATTTGTTTCTTCTCTAATTTTTTTAATTTTATATATACAATTTTTTTTTAACAATAAATGGGTTTCATTCTTGCATCCAGAAAAAAAAGTGTAAAAAAAAAAAGTGTGGTGGGGCACATCTTTAACCCCAGAACTCAGGAAGCAAAGTCAAGTGGATCTCTTTGATTTCAACGCCAGCCTGGTCTACATAGTGAGTTCTAGGTCAACCAGGACTAAATAGCAAGACCCTGTCTCAAAAAAAAAAAAAAAAACCCAAAGGCTTCTGTCCTGCCCTACATGTGCCTCCCCTTTCCTTATTGAGAGAGAGAGAGAGAGAGAGAGAGAGAGAGAGAGAGAGAGAGAGACCTCCCATCCTTTTCAGTAACTGTTCACAACTTGGATAGCAGCGCCACCAAGCGTTCATAAAGAGAAATGCAGAACTGTTCTCCTGTACTGTGCAGACAGGGGCAAAGCCCTGAGGCTCTTCCGCCAGAGATGGAAAGAAGAAGAAAAAAAAATGTGCCAGGCACCCAGGGAGGAGGGCAGGCACAATGAGATGGATAGAGGGAGATAAGGGTAGGGCTCAGGGCAGAGAGGAGGCCACGAATGCCCAAGGACCACGGAGGAGGCAGTGGGCCACCCTCCCTGCCATCTCTCCTCAGCCCCGACTCAGCCCTACCTTTCATGAAGGACCATGATGGGGGAGGGGGTGCTTATGCCTGCCACCTGTCAGCTTTCTCTAGTCAACTGCATCACCTCCCTAGACATCAGCACCCTAGAAAAATCTCGAAGGCCAGATAAGAGCATGACAGCATGAAGGCCCAGAGTGACCAAGGGTGCTGGGGGAATCAAGACACAGGAACTGTAGGGTGCTCAGCCTGGGCTCCAAGGAAAGTGGGTGACCTAAAGGGGAGGCAGTGGAGCCATTATTGAAGCATGCTAGAACTGTGGAATTAAACAACCAAGTTTCTCAGCTGGCAGGATCTTTCCTGACTTCTCAATAAGGAAGCCACATCCTCAGCCTGGAGCACAAATGTCCAGGCAAAACTTTCCATTTCCCTCTTTCCTTCATGCATCCTTCTGTACCAGAGACCAGCTCCGCATCACACACAGACCCCAAACCCAAACCAACACGTGCCTGCATGAACAAGGATTTACAAAACTTTGCCTTCTCAGAGGAATGGGGCTGGCAGGTATGTGACTTGGCCCACAACGTTCTCTGTCTCTGAGTCCCTGTGCTAGGCTCTGGGGTTAGAGAGCCACCACTAGCGACCTCCGTGGACAGTGTGGGCATGAAGCTGAAAAACAAATGACTTTGGCACATTAACTATAATACAGGAGCTGGGGGACAAAGCTCTCCCTTTAAAGCTAATCAAAAGGACTAGAGAGATGGTTCAGTAGTTAAAAAGCACTGGTTACTCTTGCAGAGTACCTGGGTTCAGTTCCTAGCACCCACATGGCAGTTAACAACTGTCTGTAACTCCAGTTCCAGCAGACCTGATGCCTTTTTCTGGCCTCTGAAGGTATTGCATGACATGGGGACACTTACATACATGCAGGCAAGACACTCATACACATGAAAAGTAAAAATAAATTTTAAAAATATATAATCAAGAGAGCAGGTTGGGGGCTGGAACTGTAGTGATAGAGCAGGGTACATGACACCTCCTCTGACCTCTGCATGTATACAGGGGCATGCACATCCCCCAACACACATGTGCATATATCACATATCTAACATATACACACAAAAAATACATTTTCTTTAAAGAGGAAGGGGTCTGAAAATGAGAAAACCAGCACTGAGCAACCCCAAGTCAGAGTCTTTTTCAAGCAGAGGTCAGTGGACATTCAGCGATTGGGTCAAGTGGTGCTGGGATGTAACTGTCCTTAGCTGGAATATCACTCCACTACTTGCCAGTTGCAAAGAGGGACATTTACTTTCACAAGGGGAAGACCTGCAGATGGCGCATTGAGTAAGGGGAGCCAGGATACCTGGCATTGTGACCTCCCATCATATCACAACACTGAAATGTGAGGAACATCTCATGAGAGTGTAATTCCCCCACCTTCGGTTCACAGGAAATACAAGAGCCAGAGGAGTAAATAAATACCACAAACAACCAGAGAAGTCCAGAACTTGCACAAATGGGCTCTCCAAAACACCTGTGTCCTGAGTTGTAGGAGGAGCACTGTGCTTCTGAGAAGAGATGACCAGGGTGATGAGGAGAGGGCTGGACCTCCCAGCATGTTTGAAGTCAAGTACTAGGCTAAGCATGTTGGACAGGAAAGAGGATCCCATGGGATGATGGACCCTGCCAGACTTCAAAATCATCCTTCCTACAGCCTTTGGATACCTCCTTGTGGACCAGTTTCATCAGACAACTCACCTGGGTGCCACCAAACTGACTGAATTATTTTCTGGTACTTGTGAACACATTCTCTGATTGGATGAAAGCCTTTCCCTCATGATGGTAAAAAGGCCTCCTACATGAGATAATTTAGGTTTGGGCTGCCTCTGTCAATTGACTCATATAATGCTAAATTAATCTTAGAGACAGGTGAAAACTGGCCCAACCTCCTGCCCCCAGTCCTCCTCTGGGTTAGATGTATTCCCTGTAAGGCAGGTTTCACCCCATACAAGATTATGTTCAGAAGGCCACCTCCCCTACTCCCTAGACTAAAGGATCCTTTTCAGAAAAATTGCTAATCAGTCTCTCTTAAAAATATCTCCAGTCTCTCCAACAGGTCCAGGCTACAGTCCATTCTAACATCTGAGACATCCTCCTGGCTCCCTCCTCTAGACCCTGCCCCACCCATTCCAAAAGGAGAGAGAGGCCAGAAGCTCCTGGTTCCATCGCTGGTTTAACTAGAATCCATGGCTGACCACCTTGCTTACAGGCCTCACAAATCCTTTTGTCCATCTCCTCCTGGGTCTAAAGATTGGGCCTTGCCTAATTGTTGAACTCTGTCAAACCACAGATAGCCTCTGTCAAATTAATGTACCTGAGAGCTCAGTACAACCCCGTCACCTTGGGATATTGAGTCAATGCTTGGACTCTGCCCTAAGTCCAAGAGATGATGAAATAGTAAAAGTGACTCCATTTTGGTCTAGCTGATTTTTGTTTTACCCTGTGCTTTTGCCCAGTCATTCCCACTGCTGCGTGCCAGCCATGAAGGCTGCATCTTTCAGGGGGCACATTGTTTCTACAATGCTGGGAAACTTCCAACTAGCCCAGTAGCATGTCCAGGTAACACATCCTCCCACCCAGCTATACCTGCATCTTCACAGAACCCACTGTCTCTGAAATTCTAAGAAACCAAAACTTTTTGTTAACTGAAAACCTCCTTGTTAACTGACCTGCCCCCTGGTCTGATGTAACTATGGTTATTGGCTTTGCCCCTGGCATGTTGTAATTGTGATTTTAAGCTTTATAAACCCCACTCTGTCTCCCTTCAGAGTTCTTTCGGGCATTAGCCCCCTCTCTGGCCACCGGTGAATAGAAGATTCCTAATTAAACCATTATTATGTGGCATTCCTCTGTGCCTCTCGCTTGCTATTACAGTACACTCGCATATATGCAGGCAAAACACACACATCAGAAGTAAAAAATAAGTAAAATCTTTTTTTGAAAAAAAAACTATGCTTTTATCACTTAGAGAAAAAAGATTGCCTGTCTTAACAGATAAATGAATAAAGAAAATGTGGCACATACACAATGGAATTGTATGTAGCCGTAAAGACAATTAAATCACGGCATTCACAGGAAATTGGGTGTAACTGGAACTCATTATCAGATAAAACAAGCTAGACTCAGAGAGACAAACAACACATGTGCTCTCTAAATTCAAAATTGCTTGTGTGGATTCATGTGTGTGTTGCTCGCGTGTGCAACAAGTTTCTGGACCAGCAAGATGGCTTGGAGCATAAAGGCACTTGCTGCGTAAACCTGGCAGCCTGAGTTCCACCCTTGGAACCCACAGTGGAAGGAGAGAACCAACTCCACAAAGCTGTCTTCTGACCTCCACACATACCCCCCACACATACATCATACACATAAACACCATGTTTTGTTTTGTTTTTTAATTAAGGGCCAGGGACCAGAGAGATGGCTCAGCGGTTAAGAGCACTGGCTCCTGTTACAGAGGACTGAGGTTTGGTTCCCAGCACCCACCTGGCAACTAACAGTCATCCATAACTCCAATTTCAGGGAATCTGATACCTTTCTCTGGCCCTCTGGGAACTGGACACACATGGTACACCTACATACATGCAGACAAAACACTCATACATGTAAAATAAAAAGGTTTTAAAAATTAAGGATTCCCCCTGGAACTGGAGTTACAGACAGGCAATACACGCATACACATAAAATAAAAATAATAAATAAAATATTTTTTTTAATTTTTAAAAAAATATTAAGAACCAGCAAGATGGCTCAGCAGATAAAGGCACTTTCTGCCAAGCCTAACAACCTGAGTTCAATCCCTGAGACCCACACAGTTGAAGGAGAGAACTGACCCCTGCAGGCTGTCCTCTGACCTTCACATTCTCACTATGGTATTACACACACACACACACACACACACACACACACGCACGCACGCACGCACACACGCACGCACGCACGCACACACACACACACACACGAGCATGCCATAAATAAATATAATTTGATTTTTTTTTAAGTTTCTGTCTTGGGGGCTGGAGAGATGGCTCAGCGGTGAAGAGCATTGACTGCTCTTGCAAAGGATCCGGGTTCGATTCCCAGAACCCATATGGCGGCTACGAACCATCCTTAACTGTAGTTCCAGGGGAATCTGAAGCCCTCTTCTGACCTCCGTGGCATGGCACGACATGGGTGCACTCATATACATGCAGGCAATACACTCATATACATAAAATAATAATAATAAATAAAATATTTTTAAAAGTTTTTGTCTTTCCACATTCATCTCTGATTCATTACTATTGCTTAATCTTCCCCAAACGCTCCCCCAACCACTTCCCTGCTGTCCACCATCCTCTGTGATCCAGCTGCACCTACTTTTTGGCCCAGACATCCAAGCACACCTGTCCATTTTCAGATGTAGTGGCCCAGAGAGCCAGGCCTAGGTGTGTTATTCCCCACGTCCCCTCTATGTGCACCTCCAATGAGAGTGCCAGGGTCTGTCTGGAGGGTCTCTCAGCCATCTCCTTCCTTCCCTCACTCCTGCTGCCTGCTCCTTACCATTTTTCCTGCAAAGCTGACCTCCACGAAAGGGTCCACCAAGTTCTTCTTGTTGCTGTCAAAGCCAAAGATCTGCTTGACATTGTCCATCACAGCATCATCCACTGGGGAAAAGACATATCCATCACTGCCCAACACTGTGACCTCCATACCTGACTGTCTCCATGACACACTGGTCACTGTCCACCTGCTGTCTCCTTCCAGAATCAACTGTCCTGTGTCACACTTGTCAATGCCCAGTTGCTAAACCCTCCAGATCCCACTGTCCATGTCACACCCATTACTGCTAGACCCTGTCCCCCTGCAGACTCCACTGTCCATGTCACACCTATCACAGCCAGTCTGTATCCTCCTCCAAACCCCACTGTCCATGTCATACCTGTCACTGTCAGCCTCTGCCCCCTCCAGACCCCACTGTCCGTGTTACACTCATCACTGCCAGACTCTGTCCCCCTCCAGACCACACTGTCTGTGTCACACCCATCACTTCCAAGCATCCATCCCCCTCCAAGTCTCACTTTCCCTGTGTCTCCACACAGCCTCAAGACTACCAGAGTGGCATGCTGTGGCCCCTCATGAGGGACTCAGCCTAGGCTCTCTGGGTAGAGGGACTCAGAACAGCAGTTGGTTCTTCTCTCTGCCCCCACCCCCATCTGTCCATGGTCTCCTCACACCCCGAACTTCAGAACATGTCCACTGTGACTGACTGCAGGACTGATTCCAAACCCATGCTAACAAGGGCAGCAAGCAATCCAGGAAAGCATCAATGCACTCTGGGTGCCCGGTGCCATTTCCTCAGAAACATGAGCACAGTGATCCAACATGTCATCCCAATCTGCCGTGCAGATCATCCTACCTGCCAATTCTGGCTTTCAAAATAGAAAGAGCCAGGTGTGATGGTGCACACCTTGCAATCCAGCATGTGGGAGGTATAGACAGGAAGATTTAGGAGTTCAAGGTCAGCCTGGGTTACATCTTAACCACATAGCAAGTTCAAGGCCTGGGCTACATGAGATCCTACTTCAAAAAAAAGTTTCTAATCTATGCTGTTTCAAACCAACTGTTTTACAGAATTAGCCAAATTATTTACATATCTATACATTGACATATTGGTATATTTATGTGTGTGCATGTGTCTAGATCTACAGATGTCTGGGGCTGGAGAGAGATGGTTCAGCAATTAAGAACACTGGCTGTTCTTGCAGAAGACCCAATTTCAAATCCTAGCACCCACATGGCAGCTAACAACTGTCTGTAACTCCAGTTCCAGGGGATCCAACAGCCTCTTCTGTCCTCCTCCAGCACTGCCACATAATACATGCATACACATAAAATAAAAATAATAAATAAAATATTTTTAAAAGATTATAGATGTCTGTATGTAATGAGTAAGAGAAGCCATTAAAAATTGCATGCTTAAGCAAGCGTGGTGGCACATGCCTTTAGTCCCAGCACTTGGGATGCAGGGGCAGGTGGATCTCTGTGAGTCTGAGGCCAGCTTGGTCTATAGAGTGAGTTCCAGGCCAGCTGGGGCTACAGGGTTAGGGTTAGCTTTAGGGTTAGGGTTAGGGTTAGGATCAGGGTTAGTGTTAGCTTTAGGGTTAGGGTTAGGGTTAGTGTTAGGGGTTAGGGTTGTCTCAAAAAGACAAAAAAAAATTTCATGATTAGCCAGTCCTATATTTATTTTTGGAGATATGGGACCAATATTTGCAACATCAGCCAGGCAACAGAATGTAGACGTGCTGGCAGCACTAAAAGACCTTAGAAGAGGACTCCAGGCCAAGAGGAGGCAGGGAAGGGGCAGAGGGGGGTCCATAGGGACAGGAGTGTTAAGAAAGGGCCCAGGGACCCACAACTGGAGGCCTGTACTTTCTCCAGGGAATGGACCATGGCCCCATCCATGCTCACAACATGAAGCAGGAGCCTCGTGCAGGCCTCCCTCCAGAAAGGGACATCACTCACTCTGCGGTAAGTCCTCAGCCCTAAAGAGCTTCAAGCAGAAGTGTGCTCCTCGAAGGGCCACACCCGTGGGCCTGAGCAGGTTGCCTTCAATGTCTTCTTTGTCTTCAGAGGGGTCTTTCCTGTCCAGCTAGAAAGCAAAACACATGGGATTCTTCATAGACTCCTGAGCACGGTGTCTTCCAGCAAAGTGAGACCCATAGGTCTTAATAGGTATACCCTGAAGTAGGCCTGGGCTTATATTCTCTGTACCCACTGCCTCATGACCTTTCAGCTGACTCGGCTCTCATCAGTGCAGTGAGAAGAAGGACATGGCCTCCCAGCTTCCAGGAGAACCATCTCCAACAGTGACATGATTGCAGCTGGGACACAGCAGGCTTCCAACCCAATCATCCTGAGTCCTCTTTCCTGTGCCCTAGTTTTTAAAAAATACCATGATAGGGAGCTAGAGAGATGGCTCAGTGGTTAAGAGCACTGGCTGCTCTTGCAGAGGATCCAGCTTTGGTTCCCAGCACCCACATGTAGGCTAACAACCATCTGTAACTCCAGTTCCAGGGGATCCAACACCCTCTTCTAACCTTCGTGGGCACTGCACAACACAGGTGCACTTACATACATGCAGGCAATACACTCATATACATAAAATAAAATAATAAATAAAATATTTTTTAATATCATGGTAGAGGTCTAAGCCAGACCCTCCATTTTTAGGAACCTGTGTTCACGCATACAGTATTAGTCCAGTGACCACAGAGTCTGTATGGTGCTAAAGCATGAGAGGCACATCAGAATGAGGTGGAAGGAGGCTTGGCCCCATCAGAGTTCATCACCTTTCAGGGAGAACATGCCTCTGTGCAAATTAAAGCATCAAGATAGGCTGTGTGGTAATAAAAACATCCAACTCTACAGGAGTACACAAAACATGTGGTGGCTGCCCTTGGGCAGGAGGGCAGTGGAGGAACAGGAGAGGGTGAGATCAGGACGGTCCAGCATCCCACTCCCTGGAAAGGTACCTATAGAACCTTGGTCCATTGCCTACTAAGCCTGTCCCCCATATGGAACCTCACTCCATCATGTACAACAAAGCATTCAATCCCAGCATGCCTGGGAGCAAGCATCCAGGAGGGACTCTCTTGACTGTCTTCTCCTCAGTTTAAGTCAGAAGAAAGCCTTCACCTCCTCAGCTTTCATGTGTCTACAAAACTGCCCATCCCCTAGACAGCAAGCATGGATAGAGCACCTACCATGTACAAGTCCTATACTAGGCAAGAAGAGAGCTAAAAGGAACCTGTTTGTTGCAGTGTTCTCAGCATCAAGAATGAATCTCAGTGATGGAGACAAGCATGTGAACTAACTAGAGTAACAGAGATCTGGGTGGTGGCTAATGAATTCCCTGAACTGGGTCTTGAAGAACAAACCAACTTTTAGGAGGGGAGGACGGAGGGAGGGTGGGTGGAAGGGAGGGAGAGAGCATTTCACAGGTGAAAAGGCAGGGGAAGGTTTGGAAGGGGATTCTAGAGAACTATATGGTCTGCCATGGCCATTACACAGGATCTGGGGAGGCACACATGGGAAAAGGGCCTGGGAAATCAGGGGAGGCCAGATTGCCACGGGCCTTGGCTGTCTCACTGAGGATTCAGCTTTACTCTTGCAATGAGAAATAATTGGCAGTTTTGTAAGAGGGAACATATTATTGTACCTAGGCTTAAAGATGACTTTAGTGACAGTGTGGGAACATCTGGAGAGACATAACAACTCTGAAGGAGGAGGAGGAGGTGGCAGAAACTGTTAGCTGTCCCACAGATCTGTTCTGTTTGCTTTTACTAAAGCTACCACCCCCCATCTGAGTTTTAAATGAGCAGGTTGCCATTAGTTCCCTGGCAATTAGGCATGATACGTGCTAAGTTCTGGCCAATGAGACATCAGCAAAATGTGTTCTTGTCAGTCAAACCTTGAAGAACAAGATGTGGCTTCCATTGGCCTTTTCTCTCATTGAGTACAGACATATTAGTTGGAACTTCAGTAACAATCCTGGGCTAGAGATGGAAACCACCCAATGAAGACAGCAAAACAAAGACCAGAAGCTCTGATTGCAATAAGATCAGCAGCAGCAGATGGCTCAGAAAGAGGCTGACACAGTTCCCCTCAATGAGGGTCACTAGAATGAAAGGACTTCAAGGCCATGATTGGGCCTTGAGGTGGGAGGGAGGGAATTAGACAGAAACAATACAATATATGGAGATCTAAACATGATGGATGCTTCAACAGAAGGCAAGGCTTCTCTTTAATGCCTGGAGAGGAGCTTCATTAAGAGTGAGAACGAGGGGCTTGAGGGACAGCTCAGTGATTAACAACACTGCTCTTGCAGAGGACCCAGGTTTGGTTCCCAGCATGCAGCTAACAATCATTCAAAACTCCAGTTTTCTGGCCTCCATAGGTATTGCATGCATGGGTGCACCTACATACTATGCAGGCAAAACACTCACACACATTAAATGCACAAATAAAACATCATGCACATTAAATAATAAATATTTTTAAAGGAGTGAGAGAGAGAAAGCAAGAAAGAGAAAACTGTCAAGAGAGGGATGGTAGTAAAGAGGCCAGGAGCCTCCTAAGAGAACAGATTTCAGAGCAATTTCTTCAACAGTTCCCCTGAGGAGTGTCAAACCAATCCCAAGAACAAAAGAAAGGTCTGACTTTCTATAACCTTTAAGGGGGTAACAGGAGCTTTCATATCATGTGATTTAGTTCAGTACAGCATATATGACAAAGAGCATGGGAGAGCCAGATCACATGAACTGAAAGCTCTCAAGTCACAGCACTGACTGCTTCTTAACTCTGTCAAAGAGAGCTGCAAGGAGGTATAGCCTGATTCAGGCTGCTGAATCTGGCATAAAGGTCTGTACTCTAATGCTGATCCCTACCAACCCTAGACTCTCACTTAAAAGACAAGAATAAAGGTCTACCTTCTTAAAGCTGTGGGTTAAGACATCTTTGTTATATCAACTAGACCTATCGCTATCTCAGTTCACACAGAGACCCAAGGAGGGATGATGGGTGGCAGCCCTGGTCTTGGGATGGGAAAGAGAGAAACAAGGATATGAGTTTGTTACAAGGAGCTAAAACTCAAACCCTGGAGCTAAAAAGATCTAGCAGAGATGATCAATTCACCCCCAACTCCTGCATGGCATACCTGCCTCTCTCAGATTCCAGCTACTGAGCACTGAGTGCTTTGAGGCAAAAGGCCAAACCACATAGTGTCCACCCTAACGTGGTGTTGTGTATCTGCTTCCAGATCCTTTAGTTTTCTGGACCTGGTATTACAGTCCTGTCAGCCCAGCTACTGGGGAAGGAGACTAAGGCAGAAGCATCACAACTTCAAGGCTTGTCTGGGCCTCATAGTAAGTTCAAGGCCAATCTGAGCAACTTAGTGAGATCCTATCTCAAAATAAAAAGCAAAAGGAGGGCCAGGGGTGAAGCTTAGTAGTAGAGTGGTAGCCTAACATGTGCAAGGCTCTGAATTCAATTCCCAGGACCTTTGAAAGGAAAGAGAGAGGGAAGAAGGGAGGAAGCGAGAGAAAGAAATCTTTTCTTTTTAATCTGATTAGCTCATTTGTTCTCCACAACAGTTTGAGCCTCTCCCCAACTCCCACTCCAGCCTCACTTCCTAACCGGTCCACACAATCACATCACATCCCCAGGGAGTAACTCAGGTTACAACTGAACATTAAAATAACAACTTGACTTTTTCAAAAGGAAAACTAGACATGCATACCCTTTGAGAAGGATTCGGGATACTGATTAATAATAGCTTTCCCCAAGTGGAAATTAGGCGTGGTTTGCTTGTTATTCATACTTTTCTACATGTTTTTATAGATCTTGTAATTACCATGTATTTGTTTCAATCAGGAAAATATTAAGTTGGGGGTTTTGTATGGTGCTACACTAAGCACTATGAGGAGGATCTGGGGCAGGTACTCACTGGAGCTTCATCTCCGGGCCCCAGAACACACAGGCTAACTTTCAGGTAGCCTCTGGCCCCTGCAGAGAAATCATCAGGGTCGGAGAGCAACAGCCACTTCCGGAGATAAGTGTGCCCTGCAGGAGACAGTGAGCATTGTTGATCCCAGCATAGAGATCCAGATCTGCAACCAGGCCAGGAGTCCAGGGGAGACCAGATGAGGTGAGATGGAAGGACCTGGCTACTAGGAGGAGGGGCAGGCTTCACACCCTAGAATTCAGTGGGGGCGGGGGAAGCCAAGAACTTCCTGACACTATGACCATAGACAGGAGTTCTCCATAGGATGCTGAGGATTCTCAGCAGGGCCATATTTCCTGAGGGATGGGAGCCTTGTAATCATGTACTACCATCTGTTACTGCTGATACTGAACAGTAAGTAAATATCTCAGAGGTTTTTAAAGAATCTAGAATCGGGGCTGGAGAGATGACTCAGCAGTTAAGAGCACTTGCTGCTCTTACAGAGGACCCAGGTTCAGTTCCCAACACCCACATCGCAGTTAACAACAGTCTGTAACTCCAGTTCCAGGGGATCTGACACCTTCTTCTGGCTTCTGTGAGCATTATACAACACAAGTACACTTACACACATGCAGGCAAAACACTCATATACATAAAATAAAAACAAATAATTAATTAAAAATCTAGACTCAAGCTGGGCAGAGTGGGATACACCTTTAATCCCAGCACTCAATAAACAGAGGCAGGCAGATCTCTGTGAGTTTGAGGCCAGCCTGGTCTTAGATAGCAAGTGCCAGGATAGTCAGGGTTACATAGTGAGACCCTGTTTCAAAAATCCAAACAAAACAAAAATCTAGAATCAAAAAGCATTTTGAACATTTATGTGAGTCAGAGAGACAGCATTAACAAAAGCTTTTCGAAGAGGTGGTAAAAGCCAAACCCAGGCCCATCTTTCTGCTCCCTCAAGAAATCACCACACCAGTGTGGAGACAGAGCAAGGAGAAATCCTGGACTCAAAACCCATGTGATTCATTCCTTTCTGAGGCAAGCACAGGCTCTAGCCACCCTGGCTGGAATCTTCCAGAATAATCATCCCTTCAGGAGCGAACCAAGGGACAGTGAAGATCCATACTCCTGAAGGCTTGATTTGTGTGGAAGATAAGTCCTTGCCTTCACTTCAAGTGCAATCCCACCTCCAAGTTCTAAAACCCCAGGGAGGAAAAAGGAGTCCCCCAAATGAGTGCCCCCAAGCAACTTCTAGGACCAGAATGTCAGGGTTCCACCAAGGGTATAAGAACTCACGGGGCTCTCTGTACACGGTGCCTACGTCCATCTGAAATAAAGAAGAGACATAGTCAAACCCAAGTTTTGAATCAAAGCAGATCCAGGGCCTGAAATGAGCCCTTAAGTCATGATTTTGAAGAACATTTGGAGGCATGGAATAACACTGCTCATTTTGATACCGTCAGGAAAGAACACGGCGTCTAGATGTTGCCCAGCTTTCTCAAGCTTGCACACAGGCAAGGAGATGGAGAAAGACAGCAAAACAGTAACAAGGCTACCTCAACTGAAGTAATGTGGTTGTTTTCATTGTTCCCTTTTAACAAGTGTAGGTTATCAAGACGCTGAGGAATGGGAGGCCGTGGACCACAGAGAGGCAGAGTATACCGGAACTCTCCGTAAGTTGCACTGGACTGCTATGAACCCAAAGTCCATTTTTTTATTATAAAATTTTTTATGTGTAGAAAAAATATTTTAACTTAACCTTGGTGTTCTCAGAATAAGAATGGAAAGGTTGGATGGAGTCTTAAGATTTAATTTCTTACATAATGACCTAGGCTCAAATCTATTTTTCTTTTAAAGAAAATGTTTCTCAAATTGGGCATGATGGCACATGCCTAAATCCCAGAATTTGGGAGGAGGTGTTGGTAGAGGCAAAAGAATCAGGAGTTTAAGATCATCCTCAGCTACATAATGAATCAGAGGCCAGTCTGGGTTACACAAGGCTTATGTCAAAACTAAAAACTTCTCCAAGAAGTAAGACTTAGGTTTCACCTTGTGCTACCAAATGAGGGGGAGGGGCAGAATACTTGGCTCACAGAGGTACTTTAACAAAAGCTGGTCTCCTTCCCTTCCCTTTGATAAATCCTTGAATATCCTAAACTGAGAACACTGTAAAAAGTACACTGACTGGCATTACTCGGCCAACACCTCCAATGGATTCTTTGTGAGATCTATTGAATCTCTCCTGGAGTCCCCTAGGCTCTGTTCTCAGAAGTGGATCATCCATTGCCCAATTCAAGGCCACTAGGGAAAGTAACCAGGCCAGGTCAGGCTCTCTTCTCCTGGGGTACAGATCAGAACCCCACTTCTGACCCACAGGGAAGGTGGGGTCAGGGCAGAGAGTGCGGCATCACACCAGACGGCTAGGATGGTCGAGGATGGCCCTCCTTCCACAGTGTTGGTTCAAAGAGGAATTAAATTAACTCTGTTGGAGACAAGGGAAGAGTTCGCCTCCTTCCTTCCTGTCACACACTGATTTCAGAAAAATGATAAAGTGTAAGTACTTTCTCTTACTCTGAAATATAAGAAAGGAAGTAAGTTTTAAGCTGTGGAGTGGTCTTCCTCAAGGACCTAGGCTCCACTTCTTAAGGTAAATGAGGCCAGACAGAGCTAGGGACCTGACCCTGGAAGATGCCAAGCTCCAGCCTGGGAAATAACCCTGTCATGGAGACTGGAGTTTGAGTCCTGTTTTCTCCTCTGGATAAAGTAACTGGCTCACACAGAAGGTCACCCTAATTACCACAGGAGCGACTGTGACCGAGGGTGCCCTCCAGCCTCTTCCAGGAGGGACTGTGACCAAGGGTGCCCTCCAGCCTCTTCCAGGAGGGACTGTGACCAAGGGTGCCCTCCAGCCTCTTCCAGGAGGGACTGTGACCAAGGGTGCCCTCCAGCCTCTTCCTTGACTACGGAAACATGATGGGGACCAGGCACTCTACCCACTCAACTTCTTTCTCTTTCCAGCCTCAGCAATTGCCTGTGACACATATTCCCTCCCAGTTAATACTTATTAAATAATAAAGCTGAGGCTAGATGTAGTGGCTCATTTCTCTGTAATCCCGGGAGGCTGAGGCAGGAGAACTGCCATAAGTTTGAGGCCAGCCAGGGCTGAAAGATGAGACCTATCCCCCCCTCCAAAAAATGATAATAATAGAGTGTTTTATTTCTCTGCTCCCTTTGTTTTTCCATGTTGAAAGGTTTTATGTAGTTTTTAGAGTGAGGAGTTGACACTGTATTCTCCCAGCACAGCCCACCACTGCCTGGGAAGTGAGAACTGACTGCTTCCAAGAAAAGGAACAGTTACCCGGAATTCACCGAGCAGGGCATCCGTCCTGAGGGAGCGTGAGTCCACCACCTGCAGGAAAGATCATTTTCCTGTGAGAGTGCTGCCCAGGCTGGGTCCCTACCAGTCAGCAACAGCCAACAGCTGACACTGGCTCCATTCCAGAGATGGCGATAAGCAATGTCTCACCTCACAGAACCCCATGCATCAACACTTAATGTGCTCATTGCCTCACTGATATAGGAGCAAACATGTGGGGAGATCACAAAGTTTGTGCAGAGGGGGAGATCACAAAGTATGTTCAGATCACATGTGCATGCAGCAGAGGCAGGGCTAGAATCCATACTTCTAGCCCACAGCCTCGTCCCAGTGGGCATGGAGGAATCTGAGGCCCAGAGGGAAAAAAAGTCTGGGCCATAGCCTGGACAGAGAAATTAAGTGAAAAACCAGGCACTTTTGGCCCCTGATCTGAGGCACCTAGGGGTCTTTCTGCCATGGACAGAGCTTACATGAGCCCTTCACTCACCCAGGTACCAGGCTTTAATACACACACACACACACACCTCTCTCTCTCTCTCTCTCTCTCTCTCTCTTTCTCTCTCTCTCTCTCTCTCTCTCTCTCTCTCTCTCTCTCTCTGGCACACATTCACAGGCACACACAGGCACACTGCAGGCATGTAAACCAACAAGACCTATTCACACCTGTGCAGACTGTCATATGTATGCAGATCCCTAGCCCGTGGAGAACACTTTGATGGCCAAGACATACCGTAATAAAGATGGGCTCGTCAAATAGCTCCAAGGGAGAGTCAAACAAGTTGAAGAAAAGAGTCTGTAGGTCCAGAGCAGAAGAAGCAAGTCAGTGTCTCTGAGCCTCAGGCCAGGCAGAGGGGTGAGGCCACCCACCAGCCTTCAAGCCTGGGTCGAACCCCCACAGAGGAGACTGATGGGGCTCAGCTGCCCAGTGTGGAGCTCTGGGGATCTGACAAGCCTAGGTGTCCCACCCCTGGCGTCAGAGAGGTTGGTGTCTCAGGGACTGGGATGCTGGGGGTGGGGGCGTCTCCAAGTCCTCTGATAACATACTCCAGTCTTGGAGCACACTCCAAAGTCAGCACCCCATGAGAACACTCTTGAGTGTTCTGGCATCTGCTCTGGACCCCCACTTGAAAGTCTTACCAATGTTCTGCCTGGTCACTCATGGTCACCCACCTCATTGAAGAGTGGGCTGTTTCCTTTCTGGATCCGAGTTCGTTTGGACTGGCCAGCAGCTGTGACCTTGACCACTGGCTTGATGTTCACCCCAGGTAGCTGGCGCCCCTCGATCACCTGGACTCTGATCTGAAAGTCAGGAAGAGGATTGAGGAGGAGGGCTGGTCAGACAGCAAGGAGGAACCACCCACCCACATGCCTCAAGAGTCAGAAACCTCAGGGCCAACTCACTGATGACCTCCAGGGAAAACTACCAGAAAGATGCCAGGAAGAACATTACAAAAGCAGTCATATTTTCTACCAAGCTCTCTTGCATGTAGAAAATTCCAAAGCTCTCCAGAACAGCTGCTAGGCTGTTCCAAATAAGCCGCCTGCATTAAGTCCCTTCTCAAATGCTATGATTACAGGCATGAGCCACCATACTCAGCTCAATACTGACATTTTAAAGTAGTTTAATCATTTTTTTCTTAAACAGGGTCTCATTTTGTAACACTGGCTGGCCTGGAATATGCTATGCAGACTAGGCTCACTACACAGACCAGGCTGACCTCCATCTCACAGAGATCCACCTGCCTCTGCCTCCCAAGTGCTGGGACTGAAGGTATGTGACACCATTCCCAAATACTTGAACTTTCTTTATAGACAGTTTCCTCAGAGGAAGGTACATAGTAAGGTGACCCCAGAAATCATCTGTTATCTATTTTTTTCCTGGAATGCTGGGAATAGAGCTCAAGTCTGCCCTTATTCTTTTTATTATTAAAGACAATCTTTCTTACATTCTGAGAAATAAATGCTAGGTTAAACATTTAAAATATGAATTGAAAATATCAGATTAATTTTCATGGAAATACAATCAGACACATATACCTATACATATAGTGCATGTATATATAAATTAAGGGTAGATTTAAAATAACTATGAAAAATATAATTAATAACAAGAAGATGGGTGAGTGATTTTTATTCTCTTCATTTCGTTGTATCTTCCAAATTTTCTAATGTAAAAATATGCCCCTTTTTCAAAGGGGAGCCAGAAGTTCATCTTAGGGGAAACACGGCGATTATCACCAGGACTTGTCTTTCCATTGCTTCATGATGCAGAACTGTTCTATGGTTTGTTGCACTTATAGAGGTTTATGTTTCCAGCTTTTAACTTTTTGTTTTATTTTCTTTTGCCTGTATGTATGTAAGTGCACCCATGCCGTACAGTGCCTGTAGAGGCCAAAAGAAGGCATAGGATCCCCCTGGAACTGGAGTTACTGACAGTTGTTAGCCCTCATGTAGGTGCTGGGAACTGACCCCAGGTCCTCTGCAAGAGCAGCCAGAGCTCTTAACCACCGAGCCATCCCTTCAGCTCCTCCTGCTTTAACTTTAAAAGTAGTTCTGAAGAATTAAACAGCACTAAACTTGACTACATCAAAATGGAAAAATTTGTAGAAAGTAAAAAGAATGTTTGGCCAGGTGTGGTGGCACATGCCTTTAATCCCAGCACTCATAAGGCAGAAGCGCGTGGATCTCTGAGTTCAAGGCCAGCCTGGTCTACATAGGCCAGGCCAGCTAGGGCTTCAGGGAGACCCTGTCTCAAAAAGACCAAGAAAAAAGAGCAAGCAAATGATCAAAATCACAAAGTAAATAAGGGGCTAAAATACAGCCTAACGTTGGAGAGACTACCTGTGTACACACAGGTCCTGGGTTCAAGCTCTGTACCACACAAAAAAAAAATCTAACAATTAGATAAAATGTATTTTTGGATTTAAAATGTTCTAAGCATTCACCATTTTTTTTCCTGGGAAGAGCGTGAACACATTCAGTTTCTACATGGTTTTCTGAAAACTCTGATTAAAAACAGGGAGCAAGTCAGGCGTGGTGGTATACACCTTTAATCCCAGCACTTGGGAGGCAGAGTCAGGCGGATCTCTGTGAGTTCAAGGCCAGCCTGGTCTACACTACATAGTGAGTTCCAGAACAGCTGGGGCTACAAAAAAAAAAAAAAAAAAAAAAAAAAAAACAGGGAGCAGAGCAACCCTGGACAGAGCCCCTCAGACTCAGGCAACTGATGTGGCAGCTCTAGGGAACAGAAGTCTGCATTTCTAAGGACTCAGGCCACACAGTCCTAATACCAGTATTTGGGAAGCAGAGACAGAAGGATCATGAGTTCAAGGTCATTCTCAAGTACACAAATGAGAGACCAGCCTGGGATATAAGAGACCCTGCCTCAAGAAAACAAAACAGGGTCAGCAAGAGAGAAGGACTCAAAAGTTTTCCTCTGGCCTCTACACACACTGTGGTGCATGTACACAACATAAACAAATAATTTTTTTAAAAGCTCAAAGTGTGGGGAATGGAGAAATGATTTAGGGGTTAAGAACACTGGCTGTTCTTGCAGAAGACCCGGGCTCAAATCCCAGCACCCACATGGCAGCTAACAACTTTCTGTCTGTCCTTCTTTGGCACTGCACGGCACGGGTGCACTTACCTACATGCAGACAATACACACATACACATAAAATAAAAACAATAAATAATATATATATTTTTTAAAAGCTCAAAGCATGCTGCAGCTAGTGCAGGGTATGGATTTCACTGAAGAGCAGGAAACTAGCCCTAAGACCCAAGGCTGGATACCAAAACAAAGTGACTTGGAGCTAGGCTAATATCTGCAGGGACTTGTTTGTTTATTGTTCATTTGTACAGCAAACCCTTAGCCCTGGGTGGAGGCTCACTCTGAGGCCCCAAAACTGGAACTCTTGGTTCAGCTGCTGCAGTTGTCCCTGGGAGGCCCCTGGAATGCTTGCACATCCTTCTGAGGCTAGAGACTACCCTCACAAGAATGGGATTCTGGTAACTGCTGTTGAGTTAAAGGAGGGGAAGGGGTCACAGAGGCCCCTCATCATCACCTGAAAGTCCTGTGGCTTGTCTGACAGCAACTTTCTGGGCGGGGCTGTGCTTCTCTTTCTTTTGCTCCCTGGGTGGTAGGGGGGAGGGTGGGAGGCTGGCTTCTTGGGTGTGGTGGGTGCCCCTGGGCCTGTAGCACCACTCTGATCCAGGAACGGCTCAGCTTCATCTCCTGTTAACCCCTGGTCCTCAGTGTCTTCCTCTCCTCCTGTGTCTGTGGGGACAGTTCCCTCATGAGCACTACATACCTCTGGCCCTGCCCTGAGTTCCCAGTCCCACAGGGACAGGACCAAAGAGCATGTATGCTGAGATGCCACACTTCCAGCCTCCCTATCCCCATTCCCATGGTCAGTCAGGATGAAGGAGGTTGAACAGCCAGCAGCTGGCTCTTGAGAACTGTCAGTCTAGTTAGTCAGCAGGAAGAAGACAGGATGGCCCTGGCCCACCCACCCCACCCTGGGGATGGGCCCTTCTAACCACTTTAGCTAAAGTGGTGGCAGATGAGACACTAACAGGTGGTAGGGTCTAGCCGTGTCTCACCCGTGGGAGCCGGCCACTTCTTCCCAGAGTATCTCGTGTCCACGGTGCTGTCACTAAGCAGAGACCAAGTCTCGGCCCAGCTCTGTCCCGCACCTGGCATGTGGCAGAGCACAGCCCCACAGGGGAAGGGGCAGGAGGAAGTTGGGATGAGGGAATCCCATGTTCTGCAGCCCCACCTGTTATCCCTTCCCACCTGGCCTAGTGCCAACCAGGCAGGCTGGGAGCCTCCCCCAGTTGATCAAGCCTGCTTCATCATGGTCCCAGAGCATATGGTGACCTCTATCCTACCCACCCTCTGCCCAGAAACAGTCCTTTTTCTTCCCTGAGCCTTGCCCAGCTAGCTGCCTCCAGCTTGGGAGTCCCAACCCAGTAATCTCCTGTCTCTAGGCTGGGACACTGTCAACAAGATGGCCCTCTTCGCCCCCCTCTACACAAAGCCCCACCCAGCACTGGCCCCCAGATAGGCTCAGTGTTACCCAGGGCAGGGGCTGCTCAAGTTTCATGCTGACTTATTTCTAGTGCCCTTCACTAGGCAAATGCTCACTGGCTGATCTGGACAGCTTCCTCCCTTGCCCGGCTGGCCAGCCAGGTTCCCTGGCCTGGGTCTTCACTTGACAAGCCTAACAGAGACTTGAGGCAGGCATAGAACCTTGCCAACTCAGCTCTCATTTCACTGGTGAGCATCTTTGTGCCTGGAGAGGGAAAATGACAAGCCCAAAGCCACACAGCTACTCATACAATTACAGTGTCATAGGCAAAACTGCAACTTGTGTCCCCTAACTTTGGCCCAAGGCTCTTTTAAGGAAAAGTAGCTCAATTGTTATGTGATATCACTAAAGTCCTGCTGGGTGCCAAACAGGAAGCACTGGACTCAGGACTGGGTAGGGGCCTCCAGCAACACCTGGGTACAGATAGCACAGATGCCTGGGGTATACTCATCTCTAGAGCTATGCAGCAGAGAGCATAGGCTGGGCCTGGCCCTTCCTGGGCAGCTGGGACTCGGGGAGTGGAATCTCCAGGGCCACTACCCCTACACTACACCTGAGGTAGCTGTCTCCTATGCCTTCTTTTCCACACACCCATATCCTCTGTTCTCTAAGCCTGTCTATCTCCCAGCCTCAGGCTCAGGGACCCCTACTGGCTTTCTTGCTGGGAACCCTGCCTTGCAGGAGTGGGCTCCTTACCAGCCACCAGGTCCATGTCAGGCAGTGTCGGAGAGGGTGCCAGAGAAGCAGGTGGTGGGAACAGGGGCACGGCTCCTGGGGGTGGCGTGTAGGATACCTGCAGGACCAGTGAGGCCTGGAAGAGATGAGGTGGGCAGTGGGTGAATACAATGGAGGGAAAATGCCCTGCAGTAAAGCCTCCCCAGACCTGTAAGAACAGTCACGGAGTAATGGGTTCAGTATCTCTGGTCAGGTTCCCCAGTTCAAGCTGTGTGACCTTGGGCAAGTTGTGCAACCTCTCTGAAGCTCAGTTTCCTTATATGTAAAAAGGGGATTGTCAGCCGGGCATGGTGGCACACACCTTTAATCCCAGCACTCGGGAGGCAAAGGCAGCTGGGGCTACAGAGAGACCCTGTCTCAAAAAGACCAACAAAAAAATAAAAGCGTGGGGGGGGTTGTCATGGGAACATCTCCCTCACAGGTCTCCTGAGGCTAAAACTGGAATGAGGGATCCCATCTCTCCTGCAGGGTTTTGCCAGGAAGAAGTGTCCCGGACTGCACTGCTTAACACAGTTCTCCCACACAGCTCAGCTTGGCTCTGCTGTGTTCTGGCTGTAGATTCTACTGAGAAGCCCTCAGCTGCCACTCACATTTCTGACCCTCTTCCCTCCTAGATGTACCACATTCCCAGACAAGAGTCAATGTTCACATATTTCATGTGAGCAGGGAAGGCTGCCAGTGCTCCCATCACACCCCCTCCCTGACACCTGTTTGCTGTGCTGTCCATGGGGCCCTGTAAACCCAAGGAGAACACAGAAGTTCTCAAGCCTCCAGTCTGGTAGCCCTAGGCTAGCAAGGGCCTGGCTGAGCCTCTCCCAGTGCCAAAGGAGGCCTTTTTGAAACCCTCAAATAAAAGCAGAGTGAGGTGATGCATTCCTGTAATTCCAGGACTTGGGAAGTAGAGACAGGAGGACCAGGAGTTCAGATCCAGCCTGGTCTATGTAAGATCCTATCTCCCACTTTCCCATTCTCCCAAATCTGAATAAGAAGTGCTGTACTTAAGAAACCACAAGAAGTATAAAAACTTTATGATGGAATCATCTAGCAGAACTTCGGGCACACCTGTGAAGACTGTTTCCACTCTGGGCATGCCTGTTGATTAGGTTAGTTGAGACAGGAAGACACACACTAAAAGTGGGCAGCACCATTCCCTGGGTTTGGGTCCTGTACTGTACAAACAGGAAAAGGCTAACTGAACACAAGAATTCATCACTCTCTGCTTCCTGATTGTGAAAGCAACACAACCAGTGGCTTCAAGTTCCTGCTGCCTTAACTTCCCCATCATGATGAACTGTACCTTGAACTGTGAGCCAAAATAAACCTTTCTCCCTAAATTGCTTTTTAAATTTTTTAAATTTATTTTTACTTTATGTGTTTGAGTGTTTTGCCTGCATGTATGTAAGTACACTGTGTTGTGCAGTGCCCACAAAGACCAGAAGAGGGTGGCGGATCCCCTGGAACTGGAGTTACAGACAGTTGTTAGCTGCCGTATGGATGCTGGAAATCAAACTCTGGGTCCTCTGGAAGATCAGCTAATGCACTTAAGCACTGAGCCATCTCTCTAGCCCCCCCGCCAAGTTGCTTTTGTCAGAGTATTTTACCACAACAACTGAAAAGTAAGAAAATCCCAGAGAAGAAATAATGTAAAAGAAAAGAAGTCACCAGTAGCCCTTCATTCTTCCCAGGCTGATAGAATTGTCTCGTTTTTTTTTTAAAACAAGTAGGTTGCTTAAGCTTAGACAACAACCATTTTCCCAGGTTTAGGAAAATCCTTCATAAATGTTTATTAATATCTAATCTCTCTCCATGATCTCTCCCTGAGTGACTCTGGCATGGAACACTACCCATAGTAATAGTGGGAACATCGGAGGAGTAGTGGGGAGGACATCCAGACTGCGGAGGGAACCCTGCCCTGAGGCTGAAGGGGCTGCTGTTTCCCACTGTATCCAGATCTCAGGGTTGCATCCCTCCAGCCTGGCGCCCAGAGAGGGGCAGATGGACTAATGCAGGCAGGATGGGCAGTAATTGGGGCTCAAAACATTGAGGAAGGGGCCCAGAGGCTGTGGAGGAGACCCTTTCAATTCCACATGGCTCCCTGCAGGTGCAGGAGTGACCACTAGATGTCGCCACTGGAGCAGCAAGCACTGGCACTGACCCAGTGTAACCTTGGAAGGGAGAACAGCCTCCCTGGGTCCTTTGGGATGCTTTCTCCCATAACTGGAGAGCCACTTCAATGGGTCTGGTATAAGCCTGGGCACCTTGGTTTTTCATTAGTTATCTTAGGGTTTTTCTCCACTTCAACAAAAGGCAAGTTGAGCTCTTTGGAGAAATAACTAATGATACAGGATGAGCCCAGACCATCTTTCTGTGCCAGTAAAGCAGGGAAATTCTCAATGAGTGACAGAAATATGTCAAAAAGTCAAGAAGAGACAAGAGACTAGGGATGTAGGTCAGTTGGTAGAGCCCAGCACACACAAAACCCTGGTTCAAACCCCAGCATCACATTAACATCACATCATGGTAACACACGCCTGTATAACCCGATAGTTGGTGGGGCTAGCCTACCTAGCCAAATTCATGGGCTCCAGGTTCAGTGACAGAGCCTGAGTGATGGAAGAAGACATCAACATTGACCTCTCACTGGCCCAGGGTTCACTAATTAGGCTGAACTGGCTGGCCAGTGATCACAAGGTCTCCACCTCCCCAATGCTGGCATTACAAGTGTATACCACCTCATCCAGCTCTTTTAATGTAAGTTCTGGAGATAGAATACAGCACTTTACTAACTGAGATATCTCCCCAGCCCAGCTTCTACTCTTAAATCATTTCAAAATAAAATTTTGAGATGAATTTTGCCTGTGCCATCAGCATAGGAACTGAACTCAGCAGAGTCAAAGGCTGACTCCCAACTTACACAGGTTCTCCAAGCCAAAACCAGGCCTAGTGAAAAATGAAATACAAAGCCCTTATTGAAAAGTTTTGAAATTCAAGAATTAAATCAAGAGAATTAAATCAAGCCCAGAACCCTTCTGAGCCAACCCTGGAAGGGGTGTCTGCTTGGACCAGCCCAGCCCAGTTTTTCATCTGAAGGACAGGGAATAACAACCCTGCCTGATGTGTAGCTTTCCCATTCTTCCATTAACTTACTTAATCATTCATTTCCAAAAGATACCTACTATGCACCCACTGGAGGCCAAAGACACTGAGCGTGCGCCCATGAGTAAAAGACTCCTAACCAACAGCCCAAGTCCCAACAGGAATCCCCAGCACAGAGGGTCCTTCCACCTGCCTGGGTCTGCACCGCCTATCACAGACAGAAGTGTGTTCCTGGACCCTCTCCAAGAGACGAGGACTGCATCTCAGGCAGCAAAGAGGGCTCCCCGCCTCTCCCCACCTCTCCCTACGCACACTCAGCTGGCGACTCCCTAAGCAGGGTTAGTCCCCCTCGCCCATCTACCATCTCCTGAATTTTATGCACTCATCTCAGGGTCAGTGTTAGTGAAGGACTGTCAGCTCTACAGGCAGTCAGGGATCCCAGGTCAGGGAAGAGGAGGGAGAAGTTTCACAGATAGTGAACATGAAGCCCGGACAGAATGTGGGAGTCAGAGCAAGAAGAGGGAAAGTAAGTGGTGGCCAGCCTGCCTCAGTCCAATGCCCAGCAACCAGGCTGGGAGGTTCTATCCTGGAGCAAGACGAGCCTGGAAGAAGCAAGTGTAGGAAAGATTAATGTCACAGACACACGGAAGCTGAAGTGGAAGGACCATGGGCACCTCAGCATGGAAGTGATAACCCCTGGTTGGAGATTGTGGGGCCCTATGCACAGGAGAGGAAGCAGCCCTGTCCTTAGGGACAGTGGGAAAGCACTGGGAAGATCCTCTGACTCCAAAAGCCCCTGTTATAACTTGGTGCCTGTGGCTCTTCCAGGTGCTCTGGGCTGCAGGACCGTCTAGCACTCTCCTCAGGGTCCCAGAAAGGCCAACTGTGAAAACCTCTGGAGCCTGACAGACTAAAGACCATGTCAGCAGACTGGTGAATTCAAAGGGAACGTGAGAAGGGATGAAGACAGGCTCAGAGAACACTACACTAAAGCATGTGACCCGCCATTGAGCACTGACAGGGTTCTGTGGGGAAGGACACTGTGTGGGAAAAACGGGGTTCTGTGCAGAGGGGCACTACAAAGAATGGGGTTCTGTGGGAAGGCCACTGTCTGGGAGAGTCGGGGTTCTGCAGGAAGGACACAGGGAAGGATGGGATTCCGTGGGGAAGGACACTGTGTGGGAAGTACGGTATGGGGTTCTGCGAGGAAGGCCAGGTTCTGTGAAGAAGGACACCATCCAGGGAAGGATGGGATTCTGTGAGGAATGACACCATGAAGGAAAAGGACAGGGTTCTTTGAGAAATGACACTGTCCAGGAAGGACTGGTTTCTGTGAGGAAGGGCAGGGTTCTATGGAGAATGATACTGTCCATCAAGGAAGCACTTGGATGCCTCAGGAGCAAGTCCAACATCCAGGACTGCAGACAGCCAGGAACCCGTTTGAGAACCTCCATCCTGAGAACCTTGAGATGCATTATTGGGTGGTATCTCCACTTGGACACCTGTTCACTGGGCTCCCAGTTACTCTCCACAGATCTCGCAGCCCAGTGTGGTCCCATTCAGCCCAACCCAGAATGGCCCCTTCCTCACTCTTCCAGTCAGCTAAAGGCACACACAGTCCCCCAGGCCTCACTAGGAGGAAGCATTTCTGAATCAGCAGTGCCCCTGTGCATCCTGGGAAGTAGAACAGATCCAGTCGGAAGGTCAGGAATTTTACTGGCCAGGAAGAAAGAACCCGGCAGGGTGTATTTAGACCACTAAAAATAGCAGGAGGCCATCAAGGAGGATCAGGAATGGGCTAGGCGAGCACTGGGAAGGCCAGGGGAGGGATTAGAAGGACAATAGAGGAAAGGAAGAGGTCCTGATTTGTCACAGTGGGCAAGGGAGGGCTATCTGCCTCACTCCCCTGGTGACCTGTGACCTAGATGACTCAGATGCTTCCCTATCTGGAGAATGGGGCTGGACAGTGAGGAAGAACCATCTGTCAGGAAGACTGAGGGAGCCACAGCCAAAGCTGACCAAACACAGAACAGGAGGTGACCAGGTGTATGGGACAAGACCCAGAGACGGCCAAGCTGGGGTGTGGCAAGGCTGTACTGAGTCTCTGCAGGTCCCAGTTCTGAGTCCCTCATGGCACCCTAAGCCCTGGCCAGGGAGGGTCAGGCTTAGCTTCCCAGAGGAGCTGGTCTCTGACCCAAGGTGCAGGGAGGGAGCCAGCAAGCCTCAGAGTGGAAGCTGGAAATGGGCAGAGGAGTCCAAGCACTTACCCCAGTGGGGAGCTGCTTGGTGTCCAGCAGAGGTGCATTGAAACTGGCAGACAGGCTGGGGGTGGCGAGGACCTCCCGGAGTGGAACCTTGGCTTCCCCCAGGAACCTGAGAGGACAGAGAAGGCAAATGGAGAAAACTAGCCTAATATGCCCAGCTCTTCTCCCACCATGCCCACCACTCACACAGAGCCCATCCACCTAGGCTACCAGTCCCCTGGGATCCCTCTAGACTAGGCTAGACTCCAGCAGAAATGTTTGGGCATAAAAGAGAAGTCAGCCGGGTATGGTGGCTCACGCCTGTAGTCCCAGCACTTGGGAGGCAGAGGCAGGTGGATCTCTGTGATTTCAAGGCCAGCCTGGTCTACATAGTGAGTTCCAGGACAGCTGGGGCCACAGGGAGACCCTGCTTCAAAAAGACCAAACAAAAAAAGAAGTCAAAGACACCTGCCCTTCCTCAAGCTCAAATTGGCCTTTCTGCCCACCCCAGAAGCCTAGCCATGCCACTGCCAAGTAGAGGTACTTCTTCCCATTAAACGTTTTATTTATTTAATTAATGGATTATTTATTGTTTTGAGACAGGGTTCCAGATACCCCAGGCTGGCCTTGAACTTGCTATGGAGCTGAGATGATCTTGAACTTCTGATCCTCCTACCTCCACCACCCAAGTACTAGAATTACAGGTATATGCCACCACATCTAGTTTATATGGTGCTGGAGACTGAGTTCAGGGCTTCATGCATGCTAGGCAAGCACTCTGCCAACTGAGACACATCTCCAGCCCTCTTATCAGACACTGACAAGGAACCAGGCCAGCATCCCCAAAGAACCTGGCCAGCATCCCCAGAAGGCATACCTGCATTGCCCCCAAGCCTCAGCAGCTCAGGACCCACATCCACACAGGCTGTCTATACTAGTTTTCTAGGGCCCGCAGCAGTATTTATGAATCAGATGAAAAGAATTTTCCTGTCTTCAGGCCCAGGGTGAGACTCTGGGTCTGGGAGACAGGCCCCTCGACAGATGCCCAGCCACACCTGAGACCACATTTCTCCCTGAGTGAAGAAAACACTACATGGATGGGCTCTTGGGAAAGGGTGGGCCCCCAGCAGGATGGCAGGGGTGGGCCTATGGGGACAGAGGGTGGAAGGTTCTGGCTTTAAAAAGGATATGCCTAGGTTGTCAAGCTGACAGGAGGACTTGCAATGGTTAGTACTGATTGCCAGTTTGACAAGACCTAGAATCACCCAAGAGAAAAACCTCTGAGTTTCTAGATTGAGTTAATTTAGGTGGGAAGACCCACCTTAAATTTGGAGGCCTTATCCCATGGGCTGGGGTCTAGATGCATAAAATGAAGAAAGCAAGCTGAGCAGCAGCATTCGTGGCTCTCTGCTTCCTGACTGTGGATGCAGTGTGTCCAGTTGCTCACACTCCTGCCACCATGACTTCCCCACCATGATGAACTGTAAGCTAAAATGAACCCTTACATTTGTAAGTTGTTTTTGTCAGGTTGTTGTTATTTTGTTGGTTTTTTTTTTTTTTTAGCAACAAAAAAAGAAATTAACCCAAATGGTTATTACAAAGAAAGGGAGAGGGAGGGAGGGAGGAAAGGAGAGACGGTGAAAGAGGAAAGGGAGGGAGGTAACATGGAGAAACTGGAACTGTCATGGGCACTGCTGGTTGGAGTGGGAAGCCAGACTTACATTCCCCTCTCACAGTCCCACTTCTGACTGCATCAGACATCTGCATACCACATTCACAGCAGCAAATCCACAACAACCAGAAAACAGAGTGGGGCTTGCGGTATGGCTCCATTGGTAGAGTGTTTGCCTAATATGCACAAGTCCCTAGCCTCCATTTCCAATACTACATAAACCAGGTATGGTGCTATACTCCTGTAATATTAGCACTTGGGAGGTGGAGGTAGGAGGATCAGGAGTTCAAGGTCATGCTCAGTTACAAAATGAGTTTGAGACTAGCCTGGAATACTTGACACCCTTTTATAAAAAATAAAAGATAGAAGCAAAAGGTAGGTGGATAAATAAACTGGAATATACATACACAGTAGAATATTATTCAGTCTTAAAAGAAATCCTGACACACATCACCACAGGACTAGCCTTGGAAAAGCTGGGGCTGCAGCTCAGTGGTAGAGTACTTGCCTGGCACGCACAAGGCCCTAGGTTCAATCCCAAGTACTGACCAAAATAATAATGATGATGATGATAATAATAATAATAATAATAATAATAATAATAATAAAAAGGATTCATCCCAGAGGTTGTATGCTAAGTGAAATCAGCCAGACACAAAAGGGCAAATACTGTGTGTCCCACTCATGCATGATACCTAATCAAGTTTACAGGGATGAAAAATAGAGTGTCAGTTAGCAGGGGATAGTAAAGGAGGGAAGGAGGAAGAATTATTTAATGGATTCAAACTTTCTGCTTGAAAGATAGGATTTGGAGATGGATGGTGGTGATGGTTGCACTGAACCATACATTTAAAAATGGTTATAATGGTAGATTTTGTTATGTGTGTATTTTACCACACATAAAAATAAATAAATGGGGGACTGGGCAAGGGATAGTTCAGTTATTAAAAAGCTTACCTTGCAGTATACAGAACTGAGTTTGAGTCTCAGAACTCGCATAAAAATGCCATGTGTAATCTCAGTGCCGGGAAGGAGGAATCACAAAGATCACCAGGGCTTGCTGGCTAGCCTGTCTAGTCTAATTGATGAGTTCCAAGCCAGTGAGAGACACTGTCTCAAAGGAGGTAGATGGTGTGCCTGAGGATGACACCCAAGGTTGTCCTCCAGACACTCATGTACATGCACACCCTCCCCACACATAAATTAAAACTAATTAATTATAAATAATTGGTTGCTTAAATAAACTTCTCAGCAATGGAATTTACACCCTATTGGAGTAGGTAGATTCTTAGTTACCTTGCTCCCCTTACTAGGAAGACAGTAAACACAGTGTGTGTCCAAGGTGTTGACCTCTCTCTCTCTCTCTCTCTCTCTCCTCCTTTCTCTCTCTCCCCTCCTTTCTCTCTCCCCCCTCTCCCCTTTCTCTCCCAGTCTCTCTCCCCTCTCTCTCC